GTCACCCCGCTCATTTCAGCACACCGGGGAAGATCGTCGCTCAACAGAGAGATTCAGGCGTCGCCGCTCGGAGCGGCTCAGATGCTGCGCCCCTGCGAGGACACTCTTACGCCATCGCGGACCAGTCTGGCTTCCACTCTGCGCACGCGTGAAGAGGGGCAGGGCGTCAGGAAAGACACGTGGCGCCCTTTTGTCTCCACTTTTCCTATGTCTCCTCTTGGCGCTCCAGTGTCTCCACTCATTCCCGTTCGTTTGCTCCCTCCTCGCCTCTCGATATGAGGGCGCGCCCCCGTTCCCTCATATCTCCCCTCGGTTCGTTCCACCCGCGATCCGCGTTGTATCAGGAGAGGGCATCCCCTGCGCTACAGGCACGTGCATAGAATTCGGTCCTTCGCAAAGATAAGTGGACTTGCAATGTACATGCGCGCACGTATAGTGTCTCGACGTCGGTGCTGTGAGCAGAGACGATGGCGGGGAACACGAGAGTTTGGGACCCCTACGGGGCCCCAGATGGGGCCGAAATTGACGCGTTTCCATACAACGCCGACCACGACATCCCCATTGCGATGTCCATCGATCGAAAATCCGGCCAGCGCCCACATGCACACGCGTCCCTCCACCCCGACCCTGCAGCTTTCGACGCCAGCGATACAGACACCAACCTCGGATTGAAATGATTCCGAAGCAATACAAGGTCAGTCAGCGTGAGAAGGACTGACGTCGGCATCATCAACACGACCTGTACAGCTACCCGCCAGTCGGAAGAAGCAGGTAGAAACATGAAGCAGGAAGGCGGATGAAGCAGATTAGTTCCGGGCCCGCCCAAAGAGTAATAAAAGGAAACAAACACATATCGATTATTGAAGTAGAAAGGCGCTTGAAGGAGATTGGGATCTGAATAGCCAAAATTACCTACTTTCAACGGCCGTAAATATTACACCTCGTTCATGCTGGAACTACTCGTAGAACTGTCTAAAGCGCTCCTCGCCCCGAGGTTGCTCCAAAGGCCAGGGGCATACCAATCAGGGGTATGACAAGTGACATTCGAGATCTAGTATTACCTGGATGAGCCAGAAGGGAGAGATGCATGAACATCATGAGGGCTCCTATTCTACGCAGGGTACAAGGCGGGCTCTGGCAGGCTGACCATCTTGATCAGACCACTGCTTCGGAAGAGACCCAGCACTCCACTCCCGCATAACGGCAGAATCACTGAAGCAAATACGCCTGAGAGCCGCACTGTCAAGGGGCGGGTTCCTATCTGTTAGCCCGCTGGATGCAGCAGTCATGTCCTGCTATGCGCTCGAGGCGGACCACCGTGGGCGCATGGTACAGAGGCACCCAGGCGGCAAGGTCGGCGAGACAACGCCCAGGGGGCGTGCAGTCAAAGCACTGCGCGCCTACCCACAAGCGCGACCCTGCTTGTCGCGTATACTCGGGGCACGGTGAAGGAGAATTCGACTCCGCCAGGCAACGCAGCCGCTCCACAAAGAACACTGCAGCAAGGTCCCTACTGAATCCTACACGGCGGAAGGCGCGCCCCACAGACGGCGGAAGTGTCAGTGAGACGAAGGAGTATGGGGAATGGGGGACGAGGGGGAGGAAGGTGAAGAGAGGGGATGAGAGGAGCGAGGGGGAAGTAAAGAGGGAGGGGGTGGCCGGGATAGGATGGTGGGAGGAGTGAGGACGGGCCAGGGGAGGGATGAGGGATCGCCCTGCTGCTCTTATAGCCTTACTTCATTATCCCGCTCCTCGTCCCCTGCTTAAATTCCTCGTCCTTATAAGTATCTCCTCCCTGCCGCACCCCGAGGCGGGTCGGAGGGGCGGGCCAGGCGTTTCGCGTGAGACTTCCTCGCCATGTTTGATCCTGAAGCTCTCAAACTGCAACAGTTTCACGGATGGAGGGCGGGTCGCTTTCAATGTATGGCTCTCACCTTAGCGCCATGCGCACTCGTCTTAACAAATTGCAGAAGTTCCACGGATTGAGGGCGGGTCGTTTTCAAAATGTGGGTCACGCCTAAGCGCCGTGCACATCCATTTCAAAGGTTTGCAAGAGCTTCACGAATGTAAGGCGGGTCGTTTGCGACATTTGGTTCTCGCCTTAGCGCCGCGCACTCGTCTTGAAAAGTTGCAAAAGTTTCACGAATCGAAGGCGGTTCCTTTTCAAAATGTGGCTCTCCCCAAAGCGCCTGAACCTTTGCTTTACGAGTCTACTACAACAGTTTCAAATACTATCATAATCAACTTCCCGGAAGTGGTGTTTTGGAACGATGTCCGACTATCAGGGCGCAACAATTATGTTGATTCGTGGTGTTGAAGTCCCAGGAATGGCGTATGGCATGATTCCGGATCGCCAAGACGCAACAGTAACGGTTATTCGCGGCGTTGAGGTACCAGGAATGGCGTTCTGGCACAGTTCAAGATTTTAATATGGTTGGTTTCATGCGGTTGCCGATGACTATGAAGAGGGGGCTTGGGGGAAGGTTTATTGTAACATGATGAGTATTAGGTTTACGCTGCTCCTCCTCCTCCTCCTCCTCCTCCTCCTCCCCCATCCGTCTCCTCAACCTCATCATCATCATCATCATCATCATCATCATCATCATCATCATCATCATCATCATCATCATCATCATCATCATCATCATCATCATCATCCTCATCCTCATCCTCATCCTCATCCTCATCCTCATCATCATCCTCATCCTCATCCTCATCATCATCATCATCGTCATCATCATCATCACCACCATCACCACCGCCACCACCACCACCACCATCATCATCATCATCATCAGCAGCAGCATCATCATGAATGGGGATAGGATGGTGCTGACTGTGGACGCCCGAGGACTGGAGAGCCTCGCGGGTCACGCCGCCGACCACGGCTCCCAGAGGCAAGACCCGATCCGGGGCTCGAGGCTCGAGGATCGAGGATCGAGGATCGAGGTTCGAGGTTCGAGGTTCGAGGATCGAATGCCTCGCGGGGCACGTCACCGATCGTGGGCGACGGGCGGCCCTGGGGACTCATGGACATAGCCACGTGGGGGTACGCTGGGCCCCCCCGTCGGCGCCTCCGGCGCCGCCCCTGGCGCGCTCCGCGCGCCAGGGAGGGGGGCCCAGCGCCGATCCAAGAAATCCGCGTGGAGCTCCGAAAGTTGATGTTCATGCCGCTTTCTCCAGCCATCCTGTGGTAGTGGGTCCTCGTTTTGAATACGCGCCGCCCCGCATCACCTGCCTCCTCCATCCTCCTCCCCCTTCTTCCTCCTCCTCCTCCTCCCGCTTCTCTCCCTCCTTCTCCCCCGTCTCCCCCTCCTCACATGTTTCGTGGCACCGTGGGGAGCTCCACCGAAGGCCGCAGTGGCAGGAATCACATGCGTCCCCCGCCCTTTGTGGCAACCCTCTCATACGTTTCATGGCCCCATCAGGAGCCTCACCGAAGGCCGCAGTGGCAGGAATCACATGCGTTATGTCGCCCTTCTTGGCGCACCCCTCACACGCTTCGTGGACCCAAAGGGAGCTCCACCGAAGGCCCCAGTGGCAGGAATCACATGCGTCACCCCCCCTGCCCCTTTCTGGCACGCAACTCATACGATTCGCGGCCTCATAGCGAGCCTGACCGAAGGCCGCAGTGGCAGGAATCACACGCGTCCCCCCGACCATGTGGGCACACCCCATCACACGTCGCCGCAGCGGCAGGAAACACATGGGTCCCTGGCACGCCCACAACGCGATTTGTGATCCCACAGGGAGCTCCACCGAAGGCCGCAGTGGCAGGAATCACATGCATCCCCCAACCTGTTCTGGCACGCCCCTCATACGGTTCGTGGACCCACAGCGAGACTCACCGAAGGCCCCAGCGGCAGGAATCACACGCGTCACCCTTGCCCGCCATGGCACCCCCCTCACACCATCGTGGCCCCATAGGAAGCTCCACCGAAGGCCGCAATGGCACAAACACATCCGTCCCCGCGCCCATGTCGGCACACCCCTCACACGCTTCGTGGCCCCATAGGGACCCTTACCAAAGAAGGCAGCAGTGGCGCAGGTATCACATGCGTCCCGCAGCCCGTTCTGGCACACAGCTCGCACGCTTCGTGGCACCGTAGGGAGCTCCACCGAAGGCCGCAGTGCCTGGAATCGCATGCGTCCCCCCACCGATTTCGGCACACTCCGCAGATGCTTCGTGGCCCCATAGGGAGCCTTACCAAAGCCAGCAGTGGCGGGTATCACATGCGTCCCCCGGCCCATTTTGGCACTCCCTTCACACGGTTCGTAGTCTTACCGAAGGCCGCATTGACAGGAATCACATGCGTCCCACCGCCAAGTTTAGCACACCCCTCACACGATTCTTGGTTCCAACAGGGAGCTCCACCGAAGGCCCTACTGGCAGGGTTCGCATGCGGCTCCCCGCCCATGTCGACACACCCTTCACACGCTTCGTGGCCCCATTGGAAAACTTGTTGAAAGCCGTAGATCAGGGTTCGCATGCCGCGGCCTCCATTTCTGCACACCGCTCACACGTTTCGTGGCCTGGTAGGGAGCTCCACCGGAGGCCACAGTAGCAGGAATCACATGCGTCCCCCCGCCCATTCTAGCACACCCATCACACCTTTCGTGGCCCAAATGGGAGCTCCACCGAAGGCCCCAGTGGCAGGGTTGACACGCGGCTCCACGCCCACGTCGGCACACCCCTCACATGTTCCGTGGCCCCAAAGGGGGCTTCACCGAGGACGATTCTCAAAACTGCGGCACTCACACTTTCATATGGTTCGGCCCTTCGCCAGGATAATTTCTCTTCTGCTCAGAGGAGGAAGATGTACCGATACCACTACCCTTCCATCGTCGCCACGGCTCCCCCAATCGGGCCCCCCGGCGGGGAGTAGCCAGAAGAGGAGGCATCCTCGTCGTACTTGAATGACGGTAGTTGTTTGGGTGGTGGCCGCCACAGCCGTAGTGCGTGCGGGCTTATCCCTCCTGACGATTTGTTAACCCAGGGTGGGCATGTGGGTAACTCAAAAGAGCCGCGTTGTGCCGCATGGCATCAGAGGCTTAAGATGAGGATGCACACGAACAAACAGACAAGCATAAACAACACAAACTATTGAAGGTCCGCGCGGATTCGGGGGATCATCGCTGGACCCCTCTCCCTGGCGCGCGGAGCGCGCCAAGGGTGGCGCCAGAGGCACCGCCAGGGGGGCCGAGGCGCCGATCCGAGAGATCTGCGCAGAGCTCCGAAAGGTTGCGTATATGCCACATTGTCTTCTTCGAAGAAACACACACGCAGCGAGCCACGATCGCAGGAGCGGGAAGGCGCGAGCAGGCTGCGCAGCAGGAAGGAGCGAGGAGCCGGCCGGCGCACCGCTCCGCGGCACCGCCGCCCCGCCCGGCAGGCCGCTGGGGCCCTCAGCGCGCCATGCGGCGGCGCGGAGTGCGCGCGGAGAGCCAGCCGGACGTTTTCTGGGCCTGTCGGCGCAGGGGCCTCTCGCCCCGCTGGCGCGGCCGCCGCCGCCCTCCCTCGCCCTCGCTTTTGGCCGTCGTCGAGGTCGTCGTCAACGTCGTTGGCCGCCGCCGTCGTCGTCGTTGGTCGGCCGGTCGATCAGGCCAATGGGCTCGTCAGAAGCTGCAGAACGCCACCTGGGCCAGCCTAACTGCCACAAGGTGGACGTACCATTTCCTTTCATATGTATAGCCGCCCTACCTGGCGGACAAAGAAAACCCGCGGCCCCAGCCACCCACCCATGACAGAGCGCCGTCCTCCACGGGAGAGGGGAAGGGGGAGGAGGAGGAGGAGGAGGAGGAGGAGGAGGAGGAGGAGGAGAGGAGGAGAGGAGGAGAAGGAAGGAGGAGAGGAGGAGGAGGAGAGGAGGAGGAGGACGAGGAGGAGGAGGAGGAGGAGAAGGATGAGAAGAAGGATGATGATGATGAGGAGGAGGAGGAGGAAGAGGAGGAGGAGGAAGAGGAGGAGAAGGAGGAGAGGGAGGAGAGGAAGGAGGAGGAGGAGGAGGAGGAGGAGGAGGAGGAGGAGGAGGATTTCCGTTTTACACCACACCGAAGGGCCCCCGAGCACCCGGGAGACCCCCCGGAGCCCACCCCAGCAGGCCGGCCAGGCGACGCGAAGCGTACCGAGAATACGAGGGAGTCCGCTTGCCACAGGCCGCGGCTCTAGTGGCGCGCTGCTCCTGCCGCAGGCCAAGGCAACGCAGCCACAAAGGGAAGGCCACCAACCCCCCCGAAGGAAGGCGGATTGCGACCAGCACTGCACGCCACACAGGGGACGGTGGGAGGGACCGCGAGACGCGCGGCACCGCCCCCTGGGCCTGCGCACGTGAAAAAAAAAGGAAATTGAGGATTAGGTGTCCGCGAAAACCGAGCTTCCCGAAAGCAGAGCCTCCTAATCACACCACACCGAAGAGCCCCCGAGCACCCGGGAGACCCCCTGGAGCCCACCCCAGCAGGCCGGCCAGGCGACGCGAATCGTACCGAGAATACTAAGAAGCCCGCTTGCCACAGGCCGCGGCTCTAGTGGCGCGCTGCTCCTGCCGCAGGCCAAGGCAGCGCACCCACAGAGGGGGGGCCACCAACCCCACCGAGGCAAACAGACCAGGAGGCGAGCGCGAAGCGCGAACCGGAAGGACCACAACCCTGCCGCCGGGACGGAGGCCCGTAGGATCCCACGACAAGGAAGTACAGTCACAAAGGCAGCTGCCAGACAGGTGGCCCGCCCAGACTTGGCAAACGGCCAGCGGGCAAGGGCGCCGCCGAACATGCAGCACGGGCCGCATCGAGGAGGCGCTGCTTGCGAGCGTCCGCGGGAAACTTGGTGTAGAAATTCCGCATCACCTCGATGCTCGACCAACCTCCTTGGCCTTGTACGAGCTCCTCAGGGAGGGCAGCGGAATTCCCCCACCATTGCGCCCCGCCCTTGCGCAGGGAATGGCTGCCGACCTGGGCGCCGACGACATGGCGAGAGAGCACGCGTCGAAAACTATCCGCGGAGACTGGTCTCAGCGCGGCGATCCCTGCCACGCGGAAAGATACACCTGCCTCTTGCCCCCGCGATTCTGTCCGCAGGCCCACCCAGCTCCGAAGCTGCTTTGCCGGGCACAAGGGCCCGAGAGCTGGTGGCTCTGGGATCCAAATGGGAAGGCCTTCGCCGAAAGGATCGTTGTTCTGCTTCCTGATTCTGCATTTGATTGCCGCACCCTGGTCTACCACGTCACGCGCTTGCAGCGCCTGGAGCTCGGAGAAAGGCCAGATGCCAAAGAAAGCCACAGCAACCATCGCTGCGCCCCGGACACCAGCTGATGGACCCTGCGCCAGGCGGCTGCGCTGCATGGCCCCAGCTTCCGCTACGGACAGCGGTCGCTTCGCCCGGCGCAAAGTATGGTTTGCAAGCTTCTTAAGCCCCCGCCAGAACTGCCATGCTCGCGAAGTCCACACGGTCTCGAACGCGCGCAGCAGGTCGCGCTCGATGCGCCAGGCCCTGACCGCCGTTTGGCCGCCGACACAGAGCCCCAGGGCCAGCGCACAAGGCCGGAGAAGAGCGACATGAGCTTCGACTCCGAATCTCACAAGAGAAGCGCTGCATCTGCGGCCGTTTCAAGACTGCTCACCACGCAGCGAAGGATAGAATCGCAGCGGGACCTCGTGCTGGCCCCCCACGCTGCGCCCAAGCACGCGTGCACGTTGGCCGCGGCATTCCTGCATGCTTCGCGAGCGCCCAGCCCGCAATCCCCAAGCAGGAAGCCCAGCTCCAGCCACGGCCCCTGCAGCTGCCCGTCGCCCAAGTTGCCCCGGGGCGCGCGCGCCCCGCCCGGCGCGGCACGGCCGCTGGCGATCGAGGGCAGAAGGGCCCGGGCGCCTCCGCCTGCGCCCTGCCGGAGGACTGGGCGGCAGGGAAAGCCCGTTGCCCGGCCCCGGAGGCGGCGCGAGACCCCCGCGCAGGATGGGGCCCGATCAGGCCCGCCCAGGGGCGCGGCGCCATGGACTGAGGCGCAGGGCCGCTGTCATCGGAGACAAAATCACTCCTGCGCATATGATCGCCCATCTCTCGAGCCATACCGGCTACGGAGAAGATGCAGATGCAGCAAGAGACTCCAGCCAGAGGGACAACGCCTGTTCACGCAGCCTGATGAGGGGACACCCAACGAAGGCAAGGGATCACCACTTTGCAATGCAAGGGCGGATGAAGACAACGCGCCCGCGCGCGCGCACGGGGCTGCATCTCGCACGGAGGTCGGGGGTCGGGGGGGATATCGCAGTGAAACGGAGGCCCCCCACCGGGAAATCGGTCTCGGTTTCGCGTTCGTGTCGCGCGCGCGGACGAGGCGAAGCTGCGCGTGACCCTCCTGTAGCTAGGCCGAAGTAGGAGCAGATGTCAGTCCGCCCGCCCGCCGGTGGCTGGGACTGGGCCCGCGGAGTCCCGCTGGCGTCCCGCGGCGCCCCGTGCTGCCCCGTCCGCAGGTGGCCGGGGCCGGGCCCAGGGTGTCCCGGCGGGGCCCCGCGGTGCCCCGCAGTGTCCCGTGGTGTCCCGTTGGGTGAGATCGGTCGTGAGATCGATACTGAGATCGATACTGAGATCGACGCGGTGCCCCGAGGTGTCCCGCGGCGTCCCGCGGTGTCCCGTTGAGCGAGATCGATAGTGAGATCGAAGGTGAGATCGACAGGTTTCCCGCGGTGTCCCGTGGTGCCCCGTTGAGCGAGATCGATAGCGCGATCGATACAGAGATCGGCGCGGCGCCCCGGGGTGCCCCGCGGTGCCCCGCGGTGCGCCGCTGAGTGAGATCGATAGTGAGATCGAAAGTGAGATCGATAGTGAGATCGATGGTGAGATCGACAGGTGCCCCGAGGTGTCCCATGGCGTCCCGTTGAGTGAGATCGATAGTGAGATCGATCGTGAGATCGATAGTGAGATCGACGTGGTGTCCCGCGGAGTCCCGCGGTGTCCCGCGGTGGCCCGCGGTGGCCCGTTGTGTCCCACTGAATGAGATCGATGATGAGATCGATGGTGAGATCGACAAGTGCCCCGTGGTGTCCCGCGGTGTCCGGTGGTGCCCCGTTGAGCGAGATCGATAGTGAGATCGATCGAGTCAGACGTTGGCCCCCACGCACACACAACCTCCTTATCACCCGAAGAGTGGTCGTATAATATATATATATATACACATACATATACATATATGGAAGGCCACGGGCGCACGTGCCACGCAGCAGCGCGGAGGTATGGACGCACCGCCCATGACGGGCAGTTGACTCGAAATCGACAACTAATACTTGCACTCAGCAACTCAACGCAGGAGATCGACAGTCCTGCCTGCGGTTGTGCATTTGGCGCACGGCAACACGCGCTTGTTTTCGGGCCCCTGCACTGTCTCAGCGAGCGTTTGACGATGCCCTCGTTTGCCATCAGACAATTTCTGCAGGCGCGCTCGCGGAACAAAACAGTCATGGCGACGCGCCCGTTGTCATCCCGGCACTGGCTGCGCGCCCACGCCCGAAGCTTCTTCGGAGGAGTCTTCCACTGAACGACCGAGGTCAATTCCTGGAGCAAGCTGGCCACCAATTGTTTCTTCTTGCCCGCGCATGCGTCGACGCTGGCGCCCGCAGGGCCCGGCCCGCCTGGCGACGCCGACGCGGGCGCAGACAACCGGGCAACCTTCGCAGGGGGCGGGGTGCCACTTGACGAGGCGAAGGGCACGCCCCGGCGCTTCGAGCTCGTGCCGAGCGCCAGCGCCGCTTCGGCCAGGATGATGTATTGGGCGAACTCGCGAAGCAACACCCCGTGCTCCAGCGCGGAGGGCGCGCTCGCCTTCGTGGTGCGCCGCTTGCACTGCTTGCTCGTCTGGTAAATGAGATCCATGAGAGCGGCCTTCTGCGCCGCTGCTTTCTCGGGCCCGTTCTTTTTGGCCGACTGCGCTACAGCGCAGCGACGCTCGATCAGATTGACCAGCACAACAAGGCCTTGACGTTGCCCAATGGAGAATCTGCTTTTTCCATGAGGAATTGCTTCAGCTCGCCCCAGGAACCGTCGCGAGAGGTCAAGCACAATTTCTTCCAAGACACCTTAGCGGCATACCTGGACGCAGAGGCGCGCCTAACTCTTGCAGCCCCAAGTTCGCCAGATTGCTCGCGGACAAGGCCCAAATGCCTGCAGCGCCCACGACAGCCGGTCTGAGTCCACCACGAGGCCACGCCACGCGGCCCCCCACTCCGTCACCGAGTGCCCCCGCGGCTGGGCCCTGTAGGGGCCTGCGCGCGCAGACGAAGGAGGAGATTGAAGATTCGGCGCCCGCGAAAACCGCGCCCCCCGAAAACAGAGCCTCCTAAGAAGCAACGCAGGAGAGGAGGAGGAGGAGGAGGAGGAGGAGAAGGACGAGGAGGAGAAGAGGACGAGGAGGAGGAGGAGGATGGGGAGGAAAAAAATGGAGGAGGAGGAGGAGGAGGTGGAGGGGGAGAAGGACGGG